TTTCCCCTTTGGAGGAGCGGGTGTCGTCTTTCTCCCAACAAAGCAGAAGGCTCCAGGGGGTGTACCCAAATGACATCCTAGCTGTTGGGGTCAGCATCAGCTTGTCATCAAGAGGTCAGTTTGCTTCTTCTGTCCTGTGTTTGCCAGTAGCTCCTGCAAGGTCTCTAACACAGAGCCAGGCAGTTCCTGCAGCCTTAGGAGCTGAGAGAACCACAGAAACTGATTATTGCTTTTGTGTTGGGTGCTCAGAATTTTGCAACATCAAAATTTTCCCACTGTGATTATTTTTGTTCACTCAAGCTTTATTTAGTGCATCATAAAACTAGGTTAATATGTCTTCACCACTACGGTTATTGTTTTTTAACCAAGTTACAGAATTCAGTGGACTTTGAATGCAAGCACAGGCTAAACCTAAGAGTAGGTTAATTTTTAAAGCATGAAAATCAAGTTGGTGTGTTGTCCCTAAAAAGCACCTAAATTCCCAAGAATATGTTTTAAAAGTAACATTATTCTTTTAATTATTTTATTATGAATAATTTTTTTAAAAATAGATTTAAAAGAAAAAACGCTTGAAAAAAACAAGGGAGAATAGAGAGATCAATGAAGCAAGCTGACTGCAGGCAGCAGATGCTGATTTTAAAAATGTCAAAATAATGTAACATTAAATACACTAAAGAAACTAGTTCTATTCTAACTTATACTAGAAAATCAGTACATACTGAGATTTCAGAAGGAGATTGCTTTTATTACTTGATTAATGCTGATAATATGTCTGCTGTTTTGTTGTACCACGAGGTCTATCTACCCTGTTGTTAACAGTGCAGCTGCATCAGTTCAAAGACTATACTAAATTAATGTACAGCTGTATTTGACACGGTGTCCAGTTTTTACACAAATGTGCACTCCAGTCCAGTTCCTATTGAACTCTTCAATGCTTCTCTCAAACCTCCTGTTCACTGGAGCCATTTTGGGAATGGGGTGTGATGCTGTGATTAACTCTAGAGCAAGCAGCTATTTTTAGCATTTACATATTTGCTATAGAGCAGAGCCCAAGATTTCATTCCGTTGGATGAAATCTGAACTGATTTGGTCGCATGTAATCCATGTCTGAAGAACAGTGGAATATTAAAGGAGTATCGTGCTTCAAAATGGCAGAAAAGCCAATGATCCTACTGTCCTCTCTTTTTAAATATGATTAGATCAGATATGTGTACATAAAGGAAAGGTAAATTTTTGTGTTCATTATTTCTTACCATTCCTTTACTGTGCTCTTTGGAAACAGTATCTTTCTGGAAATAGTATTTAATTGGTTTTGTCCACTTCATGAGGTATGACTTCATGAGATATTAAGTTGACTTTACGTGACTGTGCGTCAGCACTGCGTGTATGTTATTGTAGAGCTGAGTCTTCCTCTTTGTAGCTAGCGATCCGGTTCTCTCACTACTTCCTCTGTGCCAAAATGTACATTGTTAATGGCACTGAATTTTTCACAGGTGGGAACATTTTAATAAATCAAAGAATTTCATCTATTCATATTTTACTAACTGAAAAGATTTCTTTTTCTGCAGTTATTTTTATGGTTTCCAACAGTGTCCTTTAGGACTGTATAACAGCACTGCATAAATCCTCAAGTGAACTTGTTAATGCATATCAGGTTCATCAGCACATAAATAGCTTTTGCTGTTTTGTGGACCCACCATGTTTTGAGAGCTGGAGCAGAAGAGTAAAGTAATTTGGTTTTGTTAATTTCCACACTCTCACTATTTACTGCTCAAAAAGTTCTGCTTCTGTGTTCTCCCCTGTTGATGCAATTTTGGGTGATGAGTCAAAGAGCAACTTTTGGTTTCTCACATAATGAAGAAAAACAATTGGTTCACTGAGCATCATTATCTTTATGATACATTAATTATTAATGAAAAGATTAATATGGACCAATAGTACAAAGTCTTCTTAATTGAGGGTAGCTAAGAGGATAATTTTCTGGGAACAAAAGAACAATGAAACATAAATGTATTTACAAAAATATGCACCAGAAAAATATTTGCAAATGCAGTCATTGTGAAAACCAAGAATTATACCAAGCTGAGAACGTGAAAGACTTTGAGATGCATGCAGACAATTTCTATATAAATACTTCTTCCTATAATGATGAAAAGGGAAACAGACACTGAGTGCCATTTACTTTCTGTGCTAGTAAATCCAGTGAAAGCTTCTCAGCCAAACCAATATCCAACTGGAAAGTGGAATTGTGTTCAAAATTTTTTCCTTAGGAAAAGGATGTACTTTTTGATGGAAAAAATTCAATTTCTTCTTAAATGTAAGAATTGGGTCATATGATCAAAACAATTGATTACATTTTTAAGTCTCAATTCCACTTCTGCCTTTTTGTCATTATTTGTTTTTTGTTTTTAACTCTGTGGTGAATTTTCAAGGCACCTGTGTTCTCAAACTGAAAAAAATAGCAGTGACAGGGCAGCGGGAGGGGGAAAATGAAATTATTTCTCATTCAGCAAATTGTAGCATTTGATGGGAAAATATTTTTACTTCCATATGTTTAAATGCTCAGCTGCCAGGCCAGATCCCTTCACAAACCCAACACGCACAGCGATCTGCTTGCACACATAGAAGCTAGAATAAATAGAATCTCGCAAAATTAAGAGAATTACCAAGTTAACTGAGGCTCGTTCAAGTGAATATACATTGCAGTTTGGGGTACTGTCCTTCAGCTGATAAAATATTTTATAGCAGTGATCATAAAACCACATGTCATTTCCTTTGTTTATATTCTTTTTGAGCTTTGAGAATATGTTCAAGAGATCTTGCATCGTGTCTCCTGAAATGACAAACCTACACAATTCAAGTGTTGTCATACGATAGGTGTATAGAAGAGCGGAAATCTTGCAAATCCCGCTGGCACCATTGATGCCAATAGCGTTGGCTGGAGGTGCAAATGTTCCTGCCGGAGCTGTTGCAGTGGAAATGTGCACCAGATGAACAGCTGCCCTCCTCACTCAGCAGGCAGATTCAGCATGCCGAAATAGCTGCTACATAAAGCACGGAGAGAAAAGAGCAGATTAACGCTATTTCAGCTGTAAAGTACAGGAAGATGTCTTTCCCATTGTGACTATAAAAAGTATTTTAATATTTATGTCATATTTATTTCCATCTCTATGAGTGGGGCATTGATATAGATTGTTGTACATAAAGATAGGAAAATTGCCTGAATATTCCATTGTGTTATTTATTCATCCACAAGCATCCATTACACAGTTTATTTTCCAATTAATCCTATCAGACAAATGTTATTCTCCTTCTCTATCCCCAACAGCAACTTCCTTCTCATGAAACAGTTTTTTCTTTGTGAGAATTAATTAGATGGTTCTTGGTGATTTTCTTGTGGTTGGTATGATATAGGAATAACCATATAACAACAACTGGCAACAGTGCTATTTCAGAAAGACCACTTACAAGAAGACAAAGTTCAGTAGTCTTCAGAAAGATTTTTTTCACGGCAAACTGTACTTGTAATGTGTGTTTCTGAACAAGGAAAAGTGGGAGATAAAGAAACAGAAGTGATTTCTTCTTTCTTCTCTTCACCAGTTTTGAACTTTGTGGCCCCTTCCCAAAGTTTCCTAAAAAAGAAAGAACAATGAAAGATAATGAAAAAACTGAAAGATTATGAAAGAACTGAAAAGAAGGAAGTTCTTCACATGCATCAATGAACTGTTAGAAGGTAAGAAACAAGGAAGGAGAATAAATGATTGAGCTGCTCAATGTAGAGATGTCAAGGGAGAGTTCTTTGGGAACCAGTACTGGTCCTGAGCTATTTTCCTTCTTATAGATATACTTGCTTGTGAAGTGGGTGGTGGCAAAACGAATGTACTCACTGATGTGACATTATTTAAGGCAGGTAAATTGTAACACCAAAACAATAAGGACTTAAAAATTTATAGAAGACTTTCTTGCTATAGAGTGTATAGGAAATAAAAAAAGCAGATGAAATTCAGTACAGATTAAAGCAAATTAGCATATATGAGGAGGAAAACACAATTGACACTGCATGCACAGTAACAAGCTCAGAACTGATCACCATCATGATGGCACTATCATAGATTCTGAAAATATTTAGTCAGTGTTTAGAAGTGGGGGAAAGGAATACACATGAACAGAATTAGGAAGAGAGGAAGGAACAGAAAACAGGAAAAAAAAGTTCGGTCATTGCAGAAAACCATGAGTGCAGCTGAAAGGTTAGCACTTCGCATGGAAAAGAAATGATGGATGAAGAGTTTATGGAAAGCTGTAAGAAACTGTCAGTCATGAAAAAAGTGCCAAAAGAATTCCTTGTCTCCTTCTATGCAATAACCAGAAGCCATTGAAAGAAATTTATCATTTATTCATTGCAGACTGAAAACAAGCCAAAGATGTTACTTCTCACAGTGTGCAGTAAAACTCTGGAAATCACCATCACAGGATGCTGCAGATTGTGACTGGCTTGTATGGTTTGAAAGTAAATTAGAAAAATCAATGGAAGAAAAAGCCCTCTCTTAAATATGAGGACTTCCTTGTTCAGGAAGCTCCTGAGCTCCAAATTACTTCAGAGTGAGGAAGCATACTATGGACAGAGCACTATTCCTCTATCTTGTTTTACTCTTTTTGATAACCTGACACTGGCTGCAGCTGGTGGCTTGGTGTCCTGAATTGTGGTTGGTACTTTCAGCCAGCAGGAATGTTGAAGTAGTAGCTTGCCTTTCCTTGGAGCTAAAATGGGTAGCAAATGGGTAACTTGTAATACAACTGCTTGATGCACTTTCAGAGAGGAAGCATGTGGTGATTTTTGGAAGAAAAGATGTAGCAATAAATATTTAGATAAACATATATTGAGATGGGAAAAGGCAAGATACTTGAGTATTTCAAGAATTGCCTTGGCTGTTAGTGTTGTCTTTTTCAGGAAAGAGGTGGGTAAAATGCCATCTCATTGCTGTTTCACAGAAAATAATATTTGAGACGTGAGCAATGTTGCTGCAAAGAGCTGATAAAGGTTATTACCTGCCCCAGTGACCATGGTATGACTTGAGAGCTAGAAGTTCAAGTCCTGTCCTTTGAGAACTTCAGCAAGAAACTGACTTGTCAGAGCTTTCCACAGGGGCAAGACTCATCTCTCAAGGCCTACTTCCATATGTACAGTCAGAGTATGCAGTCACAACCAGCTGTGAAATCCCATTTGAGTGGAGGTTTGCAAGGTCAGATCCACAGCCAACCAATGTCCTTTCATGTTCTTATCTGTGCACAAAAATGTAATTTCAATTCATGATTCGGTTTTATATTTGCCTTAGGAGAAATAAGACATTTGATTTACTCCCCTGAGAAGAATTAAAATAGATGGGGAATATGTTTTTCACATGTTCTCGAGTATACAGTGGCTTAAAGGTTGAGTTCAGTTGCATAATCCAAGGGCTACATGTCTTGCTGTACTGAAAACATACAAAGAAGTCTTTGTTTTCTGAAAATTCTTTTTTTTATTTTTCTTCTTCTTCTTCTTCTTTTCAGTGAAATTCACATTTCCTATCTCTTTTGAGTGAGGCTTTGAAGCAGAATGTAGCTCCCAAAGGTGGGTAATCTTAATGCTAATTTACTGTGCAACAATGTGCATTATTAAAAGGACATGTGAATGATTCATCCAGTGAATGAAGAAAAATTATTCCAAATGATTATTGATGAGTTAATCAAGATAGCCACGTCAACTTTCTTTGTCCATTACTGTGAGCAGTATCTCACAATCATAATAATAAGAGCCAAATGTTAATGACTGAGGTAATAAGAACCTAATGAAGAGCAGTGAAAAGTAATCTCTTTAAATAGTTTACAGTTTTCATAATCACTGAAGTGGTCAGTTGGTCCCATGATTCTTCATATTTCTTAATGTATGTTTACTATCAGCTTTTGTTTTTAATTTCTGTTTTCTTTCTCCATAAGGTGAGCAAATAGAGAAATTAAAGACCGTAAAGCGGTATAATAGCATACTAAACAAATCCATTTTGTAATATGAATTCTTTCTAACACAAAAAGATTTTTCACCTGGAGTTATAGGTAGCTAGGAGTGTGCTGCTGCCTTTCATCTCTTTTCTTCATTAATTCTTTTGTTAAAAATAATCCCTATCAGCACAGATTTAAAGTGTATTTGGATAACTGAGATTGTTGACTGCTTCATTGTAGGAGATTTCTGGGGAACAACATTTTACATGCTTTCTTTCCTGTTGTGTTTGTGATACACAAATAAAGAATTCAGGCACTGGCTTGGGTGATGGACCCAGTGAGCAAATCTACTCAAATTCCTTTTTGTGACTGGTATTTTTTCCTTGACTGTATACTTGATTTGGCTTTTTCTTTTCCTGCAGTATCTGGAGTTGTTCTTTCAAAGTATGTTTTATTTTTTCTTCAACATAACATTTGAAAATTCGGTGAATACTCTTTTGTGTTACATTAGACCAACAGACTTGCCAGGTACTTCTCCTTCAGACTGGTCCACAAAGCATCCATCCATCTTCTTCTTTCTTTTCCCAAATGATGACGCTTCCTAGCAGCCTCTAATCAAATTTGGACCATTAGTGCAAAAGATCAAAAGCCACAAAATTAGAAAGTGTCATAGAAATGTCCTGTGTGGCCCCTGCAGTGGCATCGGATAGTAAATAAAGGGGGCTGGTGTATGTATAGTGTGTGGAGAAACAGTTTGGCTTGTACAGAAATTTCTGATTCCATTGGTCTTTTCCAGTTCTCTTTCCCGGACAAAAAACTTCCATTTTACAGGTTCCTCACATGATTGATTGATTCTGAAGGCTAAATGAAGTTGAGTAGTTCAGCTTCTCACAGTTTGTTGGGTGGGAAAAACGTAACTTTATTTTGCCATATGCAATCAATTCTGATGTGGACAGGAACACAACTTTGTCACTCAGACTTCTGGGAGCCATTTTTCCAGGCTCAGCAGGAACTTTCATCACCAAGCCCAAGCCCAACTAACGTATGTCTTACAGCCCACTCAAACCTCTTGCACACGACCCACTCTAGAGGCATTGCCTGTCTCACACCAGTGTTGTCTGGACACTCATTGCAAGTTGAGAAGGTGCATGATAAACCTGCCTGCTAAGATGTTGTTTTGCTTGTGGCTCCCCAGAAACTTTTCTTTTGCTTCTTTGTGTGACAGACCAGGTTAGTGGGAACTGCTGAACCCCAATGCCTTGACTCAAGACATTATGGCATGTGCTTCAGGTGAATGACAGCTGTGAACCATGATGCATATTAAAACACCACAAAAAGAATAATAAAAGGGCATTGGTGTTTCAGCAGCTCCTGAATTTGTAAAGGTTCTCACTGCAAAAGGATTTGGCAATTACGTGCTACTGCAAGTTGTGAGAAAGTTTAAAATCTGATCTCTAATTATGCAAGTCTAAAGTATGAACAACTCTGACATGATAGGGAGCTGAGCTGGCCGGGAGAAACCTTGATCAACGTTCTTCATTTCTGGCTTTTGTGGGTGAAGTGAGAATGAGTAAGAATTGGTCTGCCATAGAAAAATTAAGAAATCTAGACTAGCCTCTGCAGTGACTATATATGACTGTACCCTCTCCATCTGCAGAGGCAGGACAAGTCAAAGATGCGGTGTATGAGCAGCCAGCGCCTCTGGTACAAAAATGCCAATGCAGAGCAGGCTAACTACATGGCATAAGCTCAGTGTAGCTCTGCTGACATCATTGAGTTAGTAAAGACTTCTATTCATATGCAGCAGATCCAGTGCAGACATGGTCCTGGCTGTTCAGGCAGTGTTGTACAGTAAAGAAGTAAGAGTGTCTGCTTCTAAAGGTCTCCAAGATGTTTGGTACGTAGCTTCTGGATGACTGAATGAGTGTCTGCACAATATCGGGTAAATTACATGGCACTATAGGAAAGAAGTTATGGGGTGAGATAGACCCTCCCCTTGCAGGAGGCTGATGTCTCCTCAGATCTGATGAAGTAGAAACCTTCTACTTCTGCTGTCAGATGCTTGTCCAAGCCCTTTGCTTGAAGAATGATTAGATCCCTATCTAATCCCTATCTAACTCTAGTTCTAATCTTTAGAACCTGCCCAGGCTGCAAGCAGACAGCTGATGTTTCTTTGTGGTATAAAATACTGTATTCATTTTTTTCAGACTCAGCTCTTTGGGAATATTCTTGGAAATCTGGGAATACCTGTATCTGCACAAGCATACTGATAATTACAGGAGAAAATTGATGTGGGGCAGCAATGGTGTGCTTGAAAACAACAGTTTGGGATTGCTGATGGTTTACAGCAGCAGCCTGATGACATACTTTTGCTGGAAGACCAGCTCTCTGAACTGCAGGAATAAAAAGCAAGGCTTGGCATCTGAGAGCAAGTATGATCCATGAGATGAAGTGACCCAGCACAAGATATCTCATGCTTATTCCCTGCAACCTGGCATTGAATCTTCATGTCTGACTCTTCCTGTGTTTGAAACAAATTCTTATTTTTTTATATATCTACTCAAGATTCACACATATGTAGTTGACTGTAGTCCAGTATGAGACTGAATATGTATGTGAGAAAGAAGGAGGTAAAATAAAGTAAATGAAAACCTTCTCCAAGGATTTTGGACCACTCCAGATTATTCCAAAGAAACAAAAGTTCCTGTTTACAAAGTGAGACAGCAATCAGTCTCTTTCTATCTTTGGGGCTTGCATCTGCAAGGTGCTTGTAGAAAGTGTACAAAATATTTTATGTTACTCAATCTCTTCACTTCTTGAGTTGGCAGATGCGTCTCTGTACCAATTCAGTCTGGTTCCATGCATCTTCTGCAGATACTAGTATGTAGCACATGGTCCTTTCATTCAAGTTGGTTCCCATTTACAGGTTGCATTCAGTTCTTCTGCTCCTCTGCTTCAAAAACCCCTTCCCAAATGGGGATGAGGCAATGGCACAACCATGGTAGCAATGAAATGGTAAGCTTCATGCTTAGAGAGGTGTCTTTGTTACAACCAAATCCTCTGCCAATTAATTGCAGCTGTAATAAAATTTTAGCTGGCTTTCTTTGGGAGTTACCATCTGGCAAATCATTCAGTGAATCTTTCCGCTCACCCACACCCAGTAAGGTTCCTCTTTTTTTTTTTCTTTTTTTTTTTTCCTGAAACGAGAAGATAACTGTTACAATTTAGCCAGTCTGTATTTTTCCTATATCTGACCATTCCTTTTGCTGAAAGAAAACTACATGAAGTGCCACTGACCATAAAGGGGTAGCTTTTGTTCTTCATGTACTTAGTTGGTGGCTGATGTTCATATGTCTTCTCTGCTTCAATTCAAGCAAATACCGTGATTGAATTGGCAAATTAACATGACAATGTCAATGTCAAGACCTATTACAATAAAGTGAGAAAGATCTTATTTGCAGAGTAGTTTCTTAACAGCCTGGTTATGGAGGAGCACTTTCCCCTCTGGAACTGCATAGGTCATGTAATCACAAGGAAAAGTCTGTGGTGATTAATTTGTTCATCTATTTTCATGCTTTTTTTTTTTCAAAAGAATTCCTGAGAAGACAACAGAAGTGTCATTTATCCAGCTCCCATCACAATCCCTTAGCTGATTTTTTAAAGAAGTTCCTAGAAACGCTGTTTTTCATTCCTACAGTTTTGTTTGGTGACTTTAACTGAGGCAGACTGGAACAGGCAATAAACTTCAAAATCTTCAAAACCCTTCCCTTCCCTTTCCTTTTCTTTTCTTAAGAGGAGGATGTGATTTGGCCATGTGAGGATCTCTCACCTGGCTTTGTGGAGCTTTCAGCTGGTTTTGAGGGCCACATCCTGTTCCAGCTATACCTGCAAAAGGTTTGTTAACACAATTTCATTGTGCTCAGCTGTGTGTCAGAGTTGCTTTTTAATGCCCTCACTTAATCATAAGGATATTTAAATGGTTCTTTCTCCTGATTATGAGGACTTGCATGTTTGCTGATTCCCATGATCCTTAATCTGAGAAATATCCTTGTCAAGTCAAAGGAGCTGCAGTGTCTATACTTAAATGGAGTGACAAAATGGATCCTCAACATTTATACGAGTGATATAGCTGGACTGCAGGTTCTAGGTGATGTTAGTTGTCTTCAGAACATTTTGTCAACATTGTGTTTTGTACTGATCGTGTTTAGCTATAGAAGTTTCTTGGTATAACTGTTGTTGGAATAATAAGCAGAAGAAAGTATATTAAGGCAAAAGACCCCCAAACTATGCCTTGGATCCACCCTGCTGCATCTTGAGTTTATATTGGGAAAAATGTTCAGGGTGTTGCAGAGTCTGACCTATTTCTTGCATGCTATGTAAAAAAAAAAAAATAATAATAATAACCAACAGAACAATCAACCTCCTTTTGCTTTGCAGAAAGATATTTTCCATTTTATCATGGCTGAAAAACCAAATGTAAATGCTGGTGCTTTATAGTGCTGAGACTGCTGCAGGAGAACATTGGTGGGGAAGTTTGCCTGTGAATTTTCAGAAAGGCTGAAGATATGCAGTGCTGGTAAACCTGAGCCATCACCTGACTCCTCATTTCAGAAAAGCGTTCCAAGTTTATCATCATTCCCCATGAAGGTAATTGATTAATTATAAAATCAGATGCTTAGAATGGTTATTTGAGGCCTTATAAAATTGGAATAAAATCAAATAGGAAAGATTCAAATATTTTTATAAAACAGATTTATTTCAGGAATATTTTGTTTGAATAAGTCCTCACTAATTTCCATCTCTCTGTTTGGGGAAAAAACACTTCCATAAAACTAGTTTTTAGTCTTCTTCACTGTCCCTTTCTTTCTGCTTCTTTTCTCTGTGATACTAAGTTTTTTGTGCAGTTCCACCAACACACCACAGTAACAACATAATACTGCTTTCCAAATATAGCTGCACCGATGGCTTTTTCTGATGGTTAATACTTGATTTTGTTGCTCTGTTAGCCCCTCCTCTTGAAGTGGTGTGGCTGTTCTGCCAATTTTTTTGTAAGATGAGTGTGTGTTTGTATGTGTGTGTGTGCAGAGGGAGTCCAGCCTTTTTGTTGCTCTGGGCCACTGTAATGGATGTTTAGTTGTGAATTGAATGGATACAATAAATATCACCCCTTTGATAACTAAAGGCTCAATGGTTTTTAAACTTTACAAAACCAAACTATGTTTTGGTAGCAATAGAAGGTGTATTTCTGGTAAAAGATTTTATATTCACTGTGCTGTGATTCTATATATGCTGGAAACTATAGTGTTAGGTGTTTCTTTTTTTTAGTCAGATGACGTGGCTTTTCCCTTCTGTTTAATTGTTTAGCTCTGTTTAATTGTTCAGTGTTACATTTTAAACTGCACTGAACACAGCACTTTTGAGGAGGAAAGAATTAATAAAATGGGGTGAAGTTACAATTAAAAAAAAAAATTTTTTTTTTTTTTTTTTTTTTTAAAAAAAAAACATGACTTTTTGAAAGGCTGTATGCTGCAGTCTCTAAACTGCTCAAGTTGTTGTCGTGTGAACTCATTTGTAAGCAGGAAGACAGAGGACTCAAGTGCCTCATTCCATAGTGTGAAATGAAGTTTGTGGGTGGACTTTTCACTGGCCTGCATTGTGCTTTGTCTCCTTGTGACACGCTGGTTAAATGGACAGGACGAGCCTTTGTAGCTTTGCAGTGTCCCATTGTTATTGAGCACATGAGAGCAGTGCAGCATTGGTGCAGCTGTTCATTAACTGGAGATTAGAAAACCTGGTGCAGGGCAAACCAGAAAATGCTAGATCATAGTTTTGAATCTGAATCTCGAAGATGCTTCTGGCAATGTGAAACACTCCCTTTCCTTAAAAACACGATTACCTCTAATCCTCATTGTGTGACACTGCAGATGGAGACAGTATTGAGCATCTATTAGCAATTCAGATACACAGGGCTGAGACCAAAGTTTTGATCTTTTATGCTTTCTGAGGATGTCTGAAGAGTATTTTTGGCCTGGGGGTTTTACACAGACCTATTTGTGAGAAATGCTGAGCTCCCATTTCTTTTCTTTCTGCTTTGCTGAGGGTGGGGTTCTGAAAGCCACTGCTGAAAACTTCAGTTGTAGCCTGTCTTTTTGAAGTAGTTGCAATTTAAATACTTTGTGAGCATAAAGTATTCTAATTTCCTCTGGAATAACAAGCATCTTCTTTTAACAGTAGCCGAGAGGGGACCAGCTAGAGACACTTTTCATGCACTCTCCCCAGCTCATGCGAAATATCATACCTCAGGGTACCATACATGTTCTGCTTAGCTGACCTGGACATTAACCATTGCCTTTAATTTTAATAAGGAAGGAAGGAGTTGATGTGGACTGCAGGTTTGGGATGTTTGCTGGAAGGCTAAGATGTGCTGCCACCTTGAATTGAGGGCTATCAGGTGCTTTATCTATTCACAGAATCCCAGAGCAAACCGAGGGGTCCAGAGGATGTCGTGTGTCTGTTCTCATGAGGCATTTCAGATGTCCTGGAAAAGCCATTAAAAATTGAAGAACACTGTACTTCATCCCTTGTGCAGACAACAGGGCTGGGGAGCGCCACTCTGGGGGCATTTTAATGCTGGTGTGAAGTCTAGATGTTTTTCTGGCAGGTCTGTGTTGATAGTTGGGAAATTGGGTTTTCGTGTAAACTGGAAGGCTTGTTTTCTGGATACTCCCAGTTTTATCACGGTCATTGAAACTCTGTTAATGTGGACCAATTTGCCCTTGCTATTTTTTACTCATTAAGCACTTTATTTAAGAAGCAGACATCACAGAACAAGGTAAAAATATCAATCGACATGTTGATCACAGAGAAGGCAATCTGTCACATAGATTTCTTCTGCAGAATGCTTACGAATATGGGACTCATGAGATGGCAACTCTGTTGCTTTGGCTGTGGTGCAAAAGATTAAAGCTTGGAGCATTTTGTTTGATTGATTTCAGTATAGCAGAGTCCTTTGCTAGTATGTGACAAGTGGCACTGAGACAAAGGATGATTTTCAGAACGTGCTGAGGGAGCCTGGGGCAACTTTCACAGAGGTCACAGAAAAGGGTCTGTCCCAGCTCAGTGGGTAAGTGATCTCCCTGCAGGAGAGAGCAACTTCTGCTTTTACGTACCTGAGTTTCTTATTTGCTCATGATGTGACAGTATAAAAGACAATCAAAATTAGTTAACATATCCAATCTTTTTTTTCTTGGTAAGTCTTTTCAATTACTGAAAACTACTGTATTTTCCAACATTAAAATACTGCACTGAGTTATCAGTATTCTAGTGTATTCTTTCATGTTCAAAATGTGGAAGGGTACTCCTAGAAGATGGCTTCTTGTCTTTAATTTAGTAGCTTATACGTACATGATACATTTCAGAAAAATAAAAAGAATCTCAAAAAAAGGTCAATGTGCAGAGTATGAAGTAGTACATCACACTGCCTTACCATATTATTTTTCATTAATGAAAATGTTTAAAAAATCAGAAAATAATCATGGAACTACTAATCAACAATTCTACTAGAGAATGCGCTCATATCTGTATTTTCTTTTTTTCTTATGATCAGAAAACACTGCTCACAGGAACTCTGGCAGTCCTTTTATCTCTGCATAGGGTCACCTGGAATGACCTCAGAATTTCCATATGAGCAATAAAGAGCTGTGCTTTTCAATGCCAGACTTGCTTTCTGGTCCAGCAAGTATAGGAACAAATGCTGAGCTCTTACTATTGCGAACTGCATATTTATAATTTTTTAAACACCTATTTTCAGAGGCAAATTAAACTCCTTGGACAGGAATCACAAAGTTACTCAGGTACTTAAAATGCAGATAAACTCTAGCTGGGATTTTTTAAATAAGCATTAGGACTCCAAAGTACATAACTGCACCTTTGGGCCAAGACTGACCCTGGTTCACTTCTTGAAGATGGGACTTAAGAACCACTGTCTCTCAGAGAGATATCTTAAAGCAAGCAAATATTTTCCTGTATAAAGCTAGGCTTGCGAAAGCGTATGTTTCTGTGTTTTATTTCATTTGGCTGACACTTACACGATGCTTTAAATTCTACAGCATGTGTGCGGCTGACTGAATTTCAGCACCGCATTTCCTGAATCTGCAAGCTTTGTGGGAAAAAAAAAAAAAAAAAAAAAAAGGCAGACTTCACTCATGTTACCAATGTATGAAAGTTTCTTAGAAACTGCCTGACACATTGCCTAAAGTCCCTTAAGACTCAGCAGGTCACCTTGGTCTTGCCTAGGCTCTTACAGCAAGCAGCTTTAGACTCTCTGTTGTGATGTCCCAAGCTGTCTGCTGTAGCAACTTGGTCTTGTGCGTAAAGCCTTTCCTAAGTGCTAAATACTCCTGCAACTCTCTTAATATACTTTGTAGAAAAAATAACCCATCTTTTGGCTAATCTTAACCCATCTTTGGACTTGTTTTTAGTCAGGAGAAAAAGCCAACCTTCCTATGGCCATCACAGTGGGAGTACAGGTTGTACGTAATTCATTTTTGGAGTTCCCAGCACTGCTAGGACAAAAGGTTTAGGGTTCTCAACTGCCTTAAGGTTCAGCTGTTGCAGTATCTCAGGGCAATCTGAATTGTCCTAACCTGATGACTGAATTAGGAGTAAGAACTAAGTTTTTCTAAGTTCCTACTACTTTGGTATAATTTGGGAACAATTTGGAGCAGAGTATATTGCAGCCATGGTTTTGCAGCCACTGTGTTTCACTGCAGATGCACCCATTGCAAATAGAAACCCCTGATATGGTTAGAAAGTACAGTATCGGCTGAAGTGACAATATGTTTGTTAAAATTAAGTTTAAAAGTAAATCACCAGCACAAGCAGGCATGCAATCTGGTGAACAGAAGCTGTTCAGTGCCGTGATGCACGTGCAGGCAGCGCCCACAGCTCAGCATCTGCCACATACAGGTGATCAGCCTGCAGCTGCTCTGACATACAGGTGAGGATGCAGTGTGGGAGAGCATCTCTGATGCCACGCTGCAGCCAGGAGCATCTGTCACCTGGCAGGCCGATCCTCTCCCTCAATTGAAGGAGCCCTATCTGAAAGTGCGTGCTTTAGCATTGCAAAGATTTTATGACACACAAATGGAGAGCACATGTTCTGCTATAAAGAGTAATTGGATGAGGATCTATCTTCTGGAATACTGAATGGAGAGTTCTGATCTGCATGCATAAGTATAATTTGTACTCCAGTCCAGTGCAACACTTAGATGTATGCTTAATTGCAAGTCTCCGAGCTGCACTGAAGAAAAGCATTTGTGGGAATACTGTGCTAGTGAGAGATGAGGAAGCAGCCACATGGATGAATACATGAGAATGGTGCCTTCTTTTTGCAAAGCACATCTCACTGTGCTCTTATTAAAACAACAGCAACCAAGCAACCTACCTATTAAAAAGATAGAAATAAAATAATGGGGGGGAAAAAAGGAAGAAAAAATTGCCTAGAGTAGAATAAAAATCATAATGGCAGAAAGGTGAACAAAAAGCCTGGCATTCTTCTGGTGTTCATAACAATACAGATTGTTCCATGGTGATGTCAGCCACCTGGAATATTTAGATCAGCAGTGTGGAGATCCATGATGCCACAA